TAAGTTAAGACAGAAAAACACGAAATATATAAAAAAAGTGTTAAAATATTTATCACAAAAATCATATAATTTGTAAACATTGTTCTTTTTTGAAAAAGAAAAAATAATATTAAACATTGTTGTTGTTGACAAGAAAAATGACATATTTCTCACCAGTTAATAGAAAACGGGTTTGTAGACCCCAAGTTTGACCAAGGACTTGCAAGTATTCGTCGAATGTTAAAACAAATCATATAATGATTCTGATATTGAAGAACTATTACTTAACCATTTAAAGGTTTTTCTTTTACACCTTAACCCTTTGAACTATACGTTTATGAAAACATGTATATTTTATTGAACAACATAAGACATTAAACATATCTTTATAGTTTATACGACCAACGCGTAGTATTTCAAATTTGTCATACATTGATTTAACAAACATTAAAATAGTACATGTTTACTTGGTGGAATTTATTCTCTTGTTAGATTTATGTTTACGAAACACCGTACTCCAGCCATCAGTACCAACTTTGCAAGAAGACTCACTCCATAACCATAAAAGTAAAGACTTTTTCTTGCCCTTCGCATAACAATCTTGATCAGCACGAACGTTTCTTCCCAACGAAGAGACACGAATCGGACTACGCTCCAAACATTTTCTATAAGCTTCAAGAAAAGGATCATCTTCTTTCTTCCTGAAACTCGAAAAATTGGACCTCGATGTCCTGATCATATTCGAAGGCGTGAAAGAACATACAAAAAGAGGACTCCGCAACACTCCTTCGATATAGTCAACATGACTACATGGAGGCGGCCTAAGGTTCCATTGTGGCTGATCACCACTTTTGTTGAGCTTTCTTGAAACTCCAGGCTTTAGCTCCCATGAAAAGGGAACTTTGGCTTTAGAAGTTTGATCAAACTCGTGATTTCTTGGACTAAGCATAACTCGTTACTATGTGTATAAACTAAAGACTCTTTGCGGTGTGGTCTTTATTGGCTTCGTTTTCAACGGAGTTTGTGTTATTATAAAATGTGTATTCATTTGAGATATAGACCATATGGTGTG